GTATTTCGAAAGAGTTGTACAGAATCCATTTCTACTTGCTCTATAATACAGTATTCAGTATTCAGTAATAATGAATTTTATGCCTCAAGGGTTATGACCATAACCGTGACTTTTGCGGATACCATGTGCTAGTCCGGTGCGATAAAATGAAGTAAACAGAACAAAAGAATTAAGTTCGATTGCTTGCAATTTTTAAACAAGAACTGAAGCAAACTTGGTAACCCAGTCGAAATAAACTGTGCCGCTATTTCACAGAGAAAATGTGTTCAAATATGCACAACTACACAGTGAGCTAACAAGCTGATACTGCTGTAGTTGTCTTGATATTTTATTCGCTGGTAATAGAGATCGCCTTATCTTTCTGTACGTATTTCTTAAGTCATTTACAATCTTTCTCATTGCCCACGTAGACGTTTCGTCAACAGTAATGGATAACCGAGAGCATTGCAGGCACACAAATCCTTACACCTGGTCCCGTACTCCCAATGCATCAGTTATCTGGGCGTTGTTCAGGTGCAACTGAGTAAAGACGGTTATGATACAAAAGTGTTCAAAGGTTGCTTGTTATCTCGCCACCAACTGCTCACACTCCGTGACCACAAAGTGAACAGAAAAATGAGCTGGGACAGGACTGCATATTTGAGGATACTGCCTCAGTTATCTAGGGCATAATAGTGGTATTAGCAAATCTACTAAAGCACATAAGAGCCATCCAATAATCTAGGAAACGATGGATGACACAGGCGAATGAGAAAAGTTAGCAGTATTAGCCAATCAAGTTTGTCCGAGAAAACGGTAGCAGCGGAAATGGGACGCTGAAATTATATCCATTAAAAACCATCTATGCTGACCAATTATCTTGAAGATTGAACAATTATCCAGAAGTGGCTGATAGAAAAACAGAAGCCGGCACATAAGCGCCGCCACAAAATCGGGTGTCTCTTAGGCATTCTCCAAACACTACTTACCACGAGAGTGCTGCGTACAAGGAACCGGAGTAATTTAACCCATAGATGCAGGCGGCTTACTTCTTGCACTAAAGCAGTTCTTGGATATGAAGGCGCTTTTATTAAATATGATTGTAAAAAATAGTTCTCCTATGCCGTCATAATATGTTTCAATAAGGAGGTCTGTATGTACTGACACATGTCGTTCCGACATCAACCTACATTTTATGTCAGTCACCTTACGTGCTCTGTACTCTGAATAAATAAATAAAACTTTTATTCTCTGCAAGGGAGACACAACCGTGGAGGCGAAATAAATATAGGCTTCACCAGAAAGTTAAACAACTGCTGTGCAAGCAATTAACAGTGGCAACTGCTGGTCAAACACTGAGCCTATTGGATTTGAATTCCTAACCGAGCAACTTACACCTGCAGTGTCATAAGTGGAGGCCGTCTCATTCAGTGAAGTAACGTGGAGATAGAAAGCGCTAAGATCAGATGTTTTGGGCACGGCAAAAGTGATAGATGCCATCTAGATTTGCGTAAACACAATTACAATGGTCACTTTTAAAACTGCCCACCACAGTCGACTTATGGTTAGTTACGGCAGCGTTTAACGTCTAAGCGGGTAAAGTTTCTTGATTTTTTCATATACGCAATGCCAGTTTACCCAGAAAATATGCGCTGGCAAATTTCCCTGGGTGTTTTCTGTTTATTAACCTAAGCAAAGTTAACTGAGCTGGATTTAGTTACTGAATCAGTTTGTACCGTAATATCATATCAAAAGGATTGACAAACGACCGGTTAACGTACTTGTTAAACTGTACAACTTTTCGCTTTTGACTCAAAAGCTTCATCATTAATCTCATCAGGTTGTTGAGTCAAAAGCGAAGCGCATGTATATTACGAAGGCCATCATTTCGATCTGGAGATTGTAAAGTTCCTAGCATATAGAAGTACCAAACACGCGTGGGAGTTTTAAAATCCTGGTAATCCACAACGAATTCAATCAGTCGACACATTGAACTGAACGCGGTGTGCGCAATACTACGGGCGAACGACCGCCAACTCGATCTATTGAATCCTGTGAAACGTGTGACTAGCGAACCAGAACTGACGACAGACTCGATCACAAGCGCAAGGAGACAAAGGCCACGAAAAACAAAGCGTTAAGGTCAAAGGTCATCTGCCCATCAAGCAGGCTGAACGCGAATCGAAATCCCAACCAAAAGGATTGCTCTTCTCCACGGGCAACCACCACGGTATAAAAAGGCACGCACACCACGTTCAGCGCACTCTCACCGAGGCTCCTCTACGCTATTCTTCGCTACTGCACGCCACTTAACTACGCACTGATGATGTAACCTCGATTGGTGGCGAAACGTTTGCAACAAAATTGCCAAGCTCAGCCAACAGCGCAACCGTCATCAAATGCGAAACGTTGTACAGGTTAACAACTACAACAACCGGTCTTTTGCCAAGCATTTTTAAACGATCACTTCTCGTTTAATTTCAAATATTTTCCAAGATCTCTTCTATCGTAGTACCTCAACTCAAATTCTGTAAACGGTGTAATGAACTGCTTATGATCGACACGTAACTGCGTGTTATTTTTCACCTTCGCTTATTCCATTTCACAGTGAGAAAACCTATAAGTCAAACGGCGGTCAACGCTTTGAAGAGGGTCGTTACATCAACCTTTCTTTGTCTTCCTTGAGCTCAGTGATTTCAAGACTTGGTGAGTATTTTCCCGAGACTGTATTGATAATAATGTGTTGTGCGACAGGCAGCACTAGAAACATATACATCGGTGTTCGGACATGATCAGCAATCTCACAAACTTTATAAGCCTTTTCGTCTGAATGGTTAATTGAAATTGAAGCATTTCTTTTCCACTAGGTGACCCCATCTCTTCTGGATAGTTGTTGCGTTTAGTTTGCCTTCATACAGTGACAACCTGTAGCAACGTGCTACAAGCATCCGTGCAACAGCTGCTTTCGAAGCATAAATAGACGCCACTTAAGAGTTCAGTAGTTCCGAAAGGATCACTCAATCCAAATATACATTGACAACAATGTAATAAGAGCTCGCAAAGTTTTGTGATCAAGTAAAGAACTTTATAATGTAAGCGAAACTTCAATTGCTAACGGCACTGCGCCTAATTCAGTTACTTCGCCATAAAAGCGGTTTCAGGTAAACTGTCAGATTGAAGATTTTTATTTCAGAGAATCCACACCAAGTAAGGAGCCAAACTGAGGAACGGTAGTATGCAAGGCGGTGGTTTTTAGTTTACTGTGAAAGCGCAAAGCTTGCATTGAGTTAGCCTAATGCTTGTGGAAGTGTGATAGGGTGTGCAGTAAACAAGTAACAAGCGAACTTCCAACCTTATGGATCAAGGAAGTGAGCAAACGCTGTACCTATTAAGAACCAACAACGTACTCGCAAAACAAGTCTCAGAATGATAGGCGTTCATCATAAAATGATTCAGAGTTTGCTAACATCCCAGCTTCTTATTGGCATCCAAAGTACATTTACTAAATGGACATCGCCGCCGTCCACGTAGAGTGTGCCATTCATGTAACAGCCATTTCTATTGGCTACAACAATAGAAATGCCTAAAACCCATCTCAATGAGGCTGGACATTACCGTGGTGAAATGGTTTGAGTGCCTCGGCGATCCATTGAGCTATGCTAGGTGGTGTTCTTTTGCACCTTTAGAGCCACGTATACCAGATTGGTCAGTGCTTAAAGGCCAGACAAACTCAGCCTCCTGGTCCTCCAGGTTCATGGTTGGTATGAGGTGGCTCCTTATTCCTTAAAACTGTCTCCTTGTAGCCCAACGCCAAACCCGCTGCCTAGCGGTAAGGTTTTGGAACCAAAGACTGGTTGAAAACCCTAATCATTCTCGTCTCTAGGCCTTGGCAACCTGACAGTATCCTGCCCACGCAATACAATGGATCTCTCTTCGAACAAATTTCTGATGTTCTGGCTACCGCAGAGGATAATCAACGGTGCCCTATTCGCTGCAGCGAGCAGGGTGGATAGGAGTTTGGAAGCTATTGCTCAGGCCTTCCCGTCTTCTTATTCCACCTCCTACGCTTTTTCACCCTTATCGTCCCGTTCCAGCTTCGCTTTTGTCCACTCAGTCTTCAAACCCCTCAATTCTCGGCCCTCCCCCACCTTGCTTCAATAGTCGCTTGTCTTTTATTGTCAACCCACATGTGAACGCGGAGTGTCATTCCTGCCCTGTCAACAGGCCCATATCCAAGCAAGCGGTCCATTCCAGTTTATCGGCTTCCATTTGGAGCCCTCGATCCTCCTTCAGATTGGCATGCCTCAATGTTCGCACATTGCTTCAGGTCGGTTAACGATCGATTTCTGCTACTTATCGGAGACAAGCCTGCAAGACTCAGGCTCTGTGCTCACTCTACGATGTCCTTCAGGCAACGTTTGCAGCACTTTCTCATTTCGCCCATTCGGTGACGATGCAGCTTCGAGCACCGACCAACCTGGTGTTGGTATTGCCCTGAGTCCCCGGGCTGAAGCTGCTCTGATCGACTGGATTCCAAGCAGTGGTCGGATGTGTGCAGTTCGATTGGTTGGCTCGTTCAAAGCTTCGAGCTCGCGGAACTAACAGCTGTCGCTGCCTATGCACCGAGAAACTGTAGCGATAACTCGATAAAAGACGACTTCTATCATCAATTGGACGAGCTCCCTAGTCACAGAAAAAGCTCTGACACCGTAGTGTTGGCTGGGGATCTGAACGCTGAAGTTGGAAAATTATCCACAGGTGAGCTGCATCTGGGCGGCCAGCATGTTGTAGGCTCCCGTAATGAAAACGATGAGCGGTTACTTCATTTGTATGCACATGCACACTTATTTCTTGCGAGCACTAATTTCCGACACGACACCCGCCGGAGGGTGACTTGGCGCCCACCAGCCTTGAACCACCCTTGGACGCAAATCGATCACATTACGATAAGTTGCTGCTGGAAAGACTGCATCCAGAATTGTCGCTCGATTTGGAGCACAGGTGTGGACACGGACCATGCACTTGTATGTGCTGAACTGCGGATGCGTTTTGACGGACGCCAACGAAGACGTTGTGAGCGCATTAACACCAACCAACTGGCGAAACCAGCTGTTCTGAATGCTTATCAAACTACGCTGTCATGCGAGTTGGAAAAACATTCACTGGATGCAGTTGAAGCTCACTTGTCTCATATTCACCAATCCTTAATAGCAGCAGGTAATTTCTCACATGGTATGTCAAATAGCCAACATGGACATTGGGTCTCTTTCCGGTCTCTGAAATTTATCTATGCTTGCGGGCATATTCCAACTAGAAGCGAACAAAATGAAACTCGCAAAGAGCTCCGGGCAGCACTCCGTGCTAGCCAGAAGAGAGACCGCGAATCCTGGTGGTCTCATCGTGCTTCCGAGATGGAAATGGCCACTGCCATTGTTAACCATCATAAGTTATTCCGGCTGATACGGGAAACGGGCAGCCGAAGACGTGGTGTTAATAAAACTATAGGTGATTAGGGTGGACATCCTATCCACAATTTGTCAAAACCTTTGGAGCGTTTGGCTGAGCATTTTGCAAGGCAATTTAATCGGCCGGAATTGTTAGATTTCTCGCCGGGCACTGATCGCCCCGCTCCGTGGACTGTCTATTTGGATCCACCTTCTCGCTCAGAAGTCAAACGTAAAATAGGACTGTTGAAGTTAAATAAAGCCGCGGGACCAGATGATCTTCCTCCAGGCGTCTTCGCATTTGGGGACCTGCTATTGTGGATGCTGTATACCAGTTACTAGTTAAACTGTGGGAAGAGGCAACTGTCCCATCTGACTGGAGCCACTCCGTCATAGTCCCAATTTTCAAGAGAGACACAAGATCGGAATGCGCCAGCCATAGAGGAATCAGTCTGATCTCCAACGCCTCCAAATTGCTTGCCTCTGTCACCCTTCGCAGATTGACTTACACTCGTGAAAGCCAGATTGGTGAAGAGCAAGCCGGGTTTCGTTGAGGTGGTGGCTGAAATGACCACATCTTTACTTTGCGTCAGTAGTTGGAGCACCGTCACATATATTAGCGGCCCACGGTTGTCGTGTTCCTCGATATCATAGGTGCATTCGTTTCGGTGGATAAACGTGCACTTTGGGACTGTCTACTCAGAAAAAATGTACCTTAAATATATGTAAATATTATCCGATCATTATGCCCGTGTGGCTCAGACAGAGTGGGGGCTTAGGACAACCTGTCGTCGCCCTTTAACATCTCCAGCAGTGTGAGGAAAGAGTCCTCGCTGTCACCTTTCCTCTTCACCTTCGCTATTGATGAAGGCATGGAAATCGCGCTTACAGCATACCACTTAGATGGTATAGATCTGCTCCCAGAAGAACCCATACTTGACTTGGAGTATGCAGATGAGATCGCACTCATCTGTGACAGCTCGTAGACGTGCCAAGCGACACTGAAGGGATTAGCACTGGCTGTCAACCGCATCGGGCTTTGCTTTGCACCATCGAAATGCAAAGCCTTCCTCCATGATCGATCTTGACTACGTCCTACCCTGACCCTTGGTGGGGATCGGCTAGAAGTCGTCCAAATCTTCAACTACCCAGGAAGTTATATCACCGCCGTTTTATCACCGTGGGATCGAATATGAGATCAAGAGACGTATAGCAAAAGCTCGAGGCGTTTTTACCAATCTTACCCACTTATAACGCCGGCGCAACGTTACTCTAGCGCTGAATGGTAGAGTGTACAATGCATCGGTACGTTCGACCCTACTGTACGGTTGTGAAATCTGGCCCCTTAGATCAGCAGACATAAAGAGTTTGGTTACGTTCGACCACCGGTGACTTCGCAATTTAGCTCACATCTGGTGCGAACACCGCGTGAGCAACGAGCGTGTTCGACGCCTTGTTTATGGAACAGGAAAAAGCGATGAACCGCTCATCATCGTCATTTCACGCACCAGGCTCCGATGGCTCGGCCACGTGTTACGCATGCTAGCCCACCGACTCCCGCGACGTGCGTTGTTTGCGCGTCGGGGATGTGGATGGAAGAAGAGGAGGGTGGCCAAGTGTTGACTTGGTCCAGAGGAATGAAGGCCCTCAGATCGAAGTTGTCCTCAGTTGGAGTGTTTTGGCTGCATGTTTGGTGTCCGAAAGACGATGAACACATTTGGTTGGACACACATGTTGATATGCCTAGCAGCCGACCTCAGTGGCGTTCGTGCTGTGAGTTTCTTTGTCCCACCCCATCCCTCTTTGATTCCTCTCCAACCACCATCTCATTATTTAACATTTTATAATTTTGCGTAGCAAATTATTTTTTTCTGCTGCATAGTAGCCGGCTGATAGCTTACCGGAGCGATGCCGATCCGTTACAGGCAGATCAGCTGTCTCGCACCTGTTGCTTTTTAATCCCTTTTCTCTTTCATGTGTTGCGGCACAGTAGCTGAGGTGTTTCCCACCTCTAGCTAACTTGTATAGTGTGTGTGTATTGCCTAAAACTGATTGAACAAAGCTTGGAATCTCTCAAATACCCTGACTTTTGCAGAGGCCAAAAAACGATTGTTTTCCAGACGATTGGATCATCAGACTAACTATCACGACATATCACGACTCGCCTCACTACTGGAGAAGTGAGGTACTGTTGAAAGCACTGAGCAGGCAATACGAAATACGCGCATTTGTTAGTCTTTGTCTTCTTACTACCCCTTTTAAACAGCCAAAGACAAATAAAAAATGGGACTAGCGGCTCATGTTTATATAAAATTGTTTGATTGGACTGCTGCGCGCAATCGCGTAGTTTATTATTTCTTCCTGATGAGACCAAGTATGGTCGGAACGTGTCGTAGCGTGCAACGTTTTTGAGATGGCAAAATCAACTTTCCTATAATGGACAAATTATCAACTGCATAATTTCTTCAGTCATAAATCGTAATGGTTTTGTTTTTTTCCTTGCACTTTCTTCACTAATTTATTAACAACCTTCAGTCGATCTCATGATAGCATTTGAATGGTGACTGCGGAATTTGACTTGTATGCTCACTCTGATTCACCCGTAAGCTCACTGTATTCAAGGTGAGCCGGTTAAAATTCGCCGGTTCCTATTTCTTATCCACACACGAGAAAGAGGGTAGACTCAAGCCGGCAAACCAAAATTTCCCCTTAGTGTCACTACGCTTTTCGTTATTGGAACACCTGTGGGCAAAAATCTGCAGGAGACTTTGCTCCTCAAATTCTACCTAAGTGCTTCCCACTGATGAGGAAACAAGACCCCTGTGTGTAGGTTAATACCCTTATCCCTGTGGATCTTCTTACTACACGGTTTTCTTAGCAAAGCGTTACTACCAATCCGTGTCTTGAAAGCAGTATAATAATGTTACTTATGAGTAGGAGGATGTTAGTTATAATTTTACTGTGTTCGTCCCAGCAGCTCACAAGCTACATAGCATAACGAACATCCGGAAAAGCGCCAGACATGTTTCTCCCTATTGGGACTTGTCATAGTTTCAAATGCTATGGAAATAGCGTCTAGTGAGAAGAAGTCTTGACCTAGGAGGCTAGTCACTGTCACCTGCAAAGGTAGTAACCTGTGTAAAAGTGATATTTAGGGCGTGCTATATCCCACTTACCATGCAAATTATGTAGCCCGGTAATTGCCCCTCAAGGGTCAGTGGCTTAAGATCCTGGCCAGTTGACGTCATTTTCTAGCGGTCTATGTTCGATCCGCAGTAGGGGACCGAGGGAATGCGCACCACTGAGGAGCCCAACTAGGGCGAAAGCGCCTGGTGCTTTTCCAGCTTGTGATTGAGCTATCTAGCTTGTAAGCTGCTGAAAAGAATACATTAGAATAATATTAGCATTTTGACGTCAACCAGTGTAAAACATAAGCTCAATTTACAAATTCCTCCGCTTTCACCTTAACATACATCTTGCGCTTCAGCACTGTTTCACTAGTTAACAATCACCAATTACTTTCTACCAATTTATCAACCACGTAGCTGAGAGATCACAAAGGCTCGCTGTCGATCAGGACACGACATTGAATAGCAGTATGTCAACCATGGACAGTACAAGAAGTTCTCGGCAATCTGCCTTATCCACTGCGTCTCCCATCCACATCCCGTACCGCAATTCCAAGCTCACTTGGTTACTGAGTGATTCGCTTGGCGGAAATGCTCTTACTACCATGATCGCAAGTAATTCGGTTGTGTTTGACTGTATTTCTATGTTATGCGAATTTGAATGCACACACTTCATGAGTGGTGTTCCCTTTTACTGTACTTCATAATTCATTAGCGTCATAAGATTCCAATCTCTGCTCTTAAAAGCTTGTCTAGCACCGAATCACAAACTGCAATCCTGTCTCTTGCATCATCCTGTATGGAAAACAATTTTAAACTAAAACTGTCAGATCTGTGTGGAACATAGGGTAGGATTATCAGAGCCAGGTTAAAGCAACGGATCACCATTCATTAAGACAGACACTGAACTTGTAGCTGATTGGTTTCGAATCCTTGTGGTATCGCTTCCAGTACCAGTTACACTTCAGTGCTAAGAACTGGCTATAGGGTTATCTCTATCCATTCGCACTTTGCATATCATTGAGACTTCGATCAGCCAAGTGAAGACGTCACCTTACTAAAATGCCCCACGCGACTTCCATTATGCCAATCAAAACATCTTAATAGTGCGTCTCATTTACGATGTAAAGCTACAAACTTAAGAAGTGGGGGTAGCCGTATGAGATCGTGATCCATATATCGAAAATGCTGAACCTAAAAAGCTAGGTTAATGGATTTATACTCAACCCCATTTATCACCGTAGAAATCTTGATACGAAAGTATTTGATTACCTCTTGATTCATCCTTGCTGCACGCCATTTTTCTTCTTGTTGTGGAAAACACATCTCCCTGCACATCCCCTGTGACACACGTGATGGCTAATTACGACGAACACTTTGCTCTCCACAGGAATCGGCAGAAAACCACTAGTTTCTAAAGGAAAAAAAACAACTACTTAACAAATATTACAGAAATTCCATTAACGAATTGACTATGGTGCGTGATGGATAATACAGTGAACGTAGATTCACTGAATAGCGCAATTCAATCTGAGTTGACAAGTTGAATCGCCGTACTGTGCGCTGCGATTGTGCGTGCTAAGTCCGCGAGGGATAAATGCGTCGAAACAGTGAGATCACAAGGTGTACAGGTTCATATGTCTGTCATGCATATTACATTACCTAAAGTACATGTTACTCTAAGTCGAGCATCAATATAGGGTCGAAATACATTGATTATTTCACAAGTTCCAACCCTGTTCTTTGGCATCAGGAATAATCGAGTTATATCTACATAGCGATAGGTTTTAACTACTTATTGGTAGCAATAATTTGCAAACATCGTTTTCTCGTCATTGCACATCACCCAACCTCTTCTTCAGCCATCTCTTCGAGCTATTCGCAGTATCAGGAGACGTTGAAAACGTTGCGTTATGCTCAACAAGCCAAACTGATAGTGAACCAACCAAAGCTGAACATGGTAAGATAAAATTATTAATCATTTCACCTATATATGCGTTCCATTTCAGGATGCAGGTGCAATGTATATACGTCAATTGTTGGATGAAATAGCCGTTCTGAGAAGGGAACTTACCAAACGCGGACCACTACAGGTAATTCTGCGTAGTTCATGCGCAAGCAACAATTTATAATGCTCTCTCAACCCTAAAGAGTAAAGTAGCACATAAGAAAAATTTAAGCATTTTAAACCAATCAAGAACAACCATCTGATAGACGTTTTGTATTTCTCTTGGTTGCTTGATCGGACACGCGGTAAAAAATAATACGATACTTGAAAAGATGTAAAATAATACGAAAGGATGAGGCCGTTTAATGTGGGTGAGTGAACTCTGAGTAGACCTCAGATAAAGCATGCTCAGCAACCTCATCTTGCCCTGTATAGGTTTGCCAGTCCGAAGGAAAGTACGGAGCGTACCATGAGTTGCGCGCGTCAGTTAAGTAGCTTCACTCCGACACCGATCAGACAGGCGCGCAGCAGAACCTAAGGGAAACTATTACTCTCTCTCTGCTACAAGGCATTTTCGCCAAGTAAGAATATAACATGCCTGATCTCTGTATACTATGCGCTGTCAGTTGTGCTTAAAGTGCATTCAATTGATGCTTCTCGCATTAAGCACAATTTGCGCACTGTTTTGTTGCTTTTTAGCAGTACGACATTTTTTAGACTTGTTGGTTTTGACCATAGAATATCTTGTATAAATTGGTTGGGAAATTCCTCCGTCTTCCAAAATAAGGTCGCACAGATTAGATCTATGCCAAGGTTAACAAGCACAGCTGTTCCGGAGCATATCGCTCGCACCAAAATGCACCGTAGACGATTGCAATGAGAGTGTTAAAAACGTTTCCACGGCTCTTCCAACTGTGCCACCATACGATGCAGTTTCCAACTACGCAGAATAAAGGAACCATGATTTCTGATTCCAAACTATCAATCGTGTTGCATTTGCAAACAATTACCAAGCCAGTTTCACTTAATTTTCTGGAGGCAATCATCACAAAGGCATTCATAAGACAAATGGACAGCTTCAGCGTCGACGTGCCGAAACAGAGCGGTGGTCTGAAGAATAGTTTGTTTTTCATGAACCTCTGTAAGCTCGTACAGTTCGGACAAAGTTGTCAGTGCTAACATGGAAAATTACACCACTCATCTGGACTTATCAAAGGTATCCTATCATCTGGATTGTCAAATTCATAATGTGCCGTACAAGCTCCACGTGATGAAAGCTCGAGGGTTTGGGTATGTCCAGTTTCGGTAAACAGTTCAGAACTGTGCTCCAGGACGTGGTGGGATTTTGCCTGACAAACCTCTTCCCTATGTAAATCCACTAACATCTGTTTAGCAACACTGCCACTTATTGGATGTGAGCCGGCACTAAATAAAGGCATTGCTGTTTGTTTACGCGGATGATTATATCCATTCTATGGGCGTCAGTCATCAAACCCGAGGCTAACCTTTATCACTGCTCACAATAGTGACCCAGTCTAAAGCAGTCAAAATTCAGCGGCATAGTTACAAATTCCATTGATAACATGAACGGTTGACGACGTCCTTGTCCGGACTGGCTAGTCACTACGGCCTCCATGGGAAAAGCCACAGGAAGCTTTCACTTACTGGGAAACCAAGGGTAACCTGTGATGCACAACTCAAATCAACTTCCACATAAAACATATCCAGTGTAACTTCTATGGAATAAAACCGGGAGACACGTAGACGGTAGCCAAAATTGAGTATGAGTTGGCCTACACCTCATCAACATGTACAGCAGCTGCATTCTATTCACTCTGATTTGAGAATCATGCGTACCAGACATACACAAGGCAGTAGCTAGGCTGTAGCCCGTTCCACATTGGATGTATGAAACTATCCGTTGAACTTAGCACGGTCCCGAACACCGTGCACCTCGTCGCCTTCAGTAATGCTGCCCGTCTCCTGGAGCCGATATAATCCAAGTGAAGGTTTTTCAGCCGACTGGCACCTTGATTGTGTACACATCGAGAGCGCAGCCAAAACGGGGATATTAATCCACAGTCAACACCTGAAATGCCAGAAAAAATAAACACGCAAACACACGCATAGACCAACTGCATTTATAATGCAGTACACATACCAGATTGACCGTATTATGTTCTTGGATTAGTAAATGGAATCGCAAATTGCGTACTTACCAAGCGATGTGCTGATGATAATTACCCATTCAGCTAAGTTGTTTTCTCTTAGATGTTGGCCCCTCGTGGCCACTCTGGTAATTTGCCAGACCGGCTTGGATGATCTACCTACGACCACATATCCCAATCAATTCCCTAAGGGTTGCTCAAGAGACAGTCGAAGCGCTGTCGACAGATCTCCATGATGTCTGATGTTTGTGTGCAGGCATACCCCTAAGTACCATACATCAGCGTCATTAGGGGCTGTAAGATGCGTCCATACACCACATTCAAGGAGTCGAAAAGTTCCTTATGTTGGCGTCGGCTAGCGTACCGTTCCATCTGCTCCGCCATCTGATCACCACTAATTCCAGATGTGACGGAACAATGAACAATGATTTATAACGGGTAAAAAGAAGGTGCTTGACATGTCCCGTAGGGTGTTTAGAGTGAGAAAAGATAGATCAAGGGATAATGGAATTGTTGGTTTGGGCGATTACAGATTTACCTGCACTGCCGTATAAAGGGAGTTTGAAATGAGAATGTGCGCACACAAAGCAATAAGGGGAGTGGTTATTGATCACGTAGTAGGCGAGAAAAAACTAAAAAAATAGCAAGGACGGCGCTTACTCGTGTGCAAGTAGCTTGGGTCGACGGGATACAGAAATCCAGTTTCTATAGGAGTAACGTTTATCAAATTTTGTGTAAGGGGTTTGGAGTGACTCATTCTCGAGTAGGCTTATGGCACTATCCACTGTCTGTTGTGCATTTGTGCCAGCATCTGGTAGCCATAGGCTATAGCACGTAGTGTAGATGTGCTAGAGTATCGTCAAGATGTTTTTTGAAAAGGGACAGGGTGGGTGTATTAATTACATGTTCCGGAAGGGCGTTCCAAGACTGTGACACTCGAAGGGAGAAATAGATTCACCGACATTCCACGCGGCTGTACTGGGTGACCAGCTTAAACTAGTGACCTCTTAGCGAGGTGTTTTGACTGAGTATCAGAAGGGAATGGCATGGGTGGTTGGGGTTTCTCAGGATCAGGCACACCATTATGAGATCGCCCCTTAGATGCCGAAAACGTCCGCTGTATATTTTGAGGGTCTTCAGCCTGAGTGGGTAGGGGAGGCTGGTCAAACGTCTGACGCTGTTCGTTGCCCTAGGTTGTGCAGTATCGAGCGCGGTAAGATGGTGCCTGAGCCAGGGTTGCCATGCTTGAATAGCGTATTCCGCGTGCGGCCTCACGTAGGCACTAAGCATTTTTGGAAAGACTAAAGGGTCAAACTTTCCGAAAGCTCTGCGAAGAAGACTGATGTACTGGTTTGCTTTCTTAGCTGTCTTTTCAGTCTGCCTCAAACAACCAAGGTCATCTTGAACTATTACGCCGAGATTACACTCGTGAGAAGCCCGCTGTAGAATTTGTGGTCCTAGGCGATACTTGTGCATACACTTGTGCCGTATGCTGAGAACTCTGCAATAGGTGACTTTGAAATGCAGCATTTTCTTGATGGACTATGTGTACGCTTTGTCCAGGTCCTCCTGTAACACTGTGTGATCCTCCACTGCAGCCATAGTACGCCATACCTTTAGATCACCAGCAAATAGCAAACGGTTAGAAGACAGCAAGTTTGCGAGATCGATTATGAAGACCAGGAACAGGCTGGGTCCAAGTACCGAGCCTTGAGGTACGTTGCACTGAACTTCGATGGATTCCGACGGAGCTCCCAAATCAGATGTCTGAGCTATTCGCAGAAGCAAATCTTCTCCTCTGAGCCCGTCAGAATCCTCCTCAATTGACTCAAATGCTGCATTATTTTCTGACTCCACGGCCCCAACGGTCATGCAGTTGTCATCAAACTAAGTGGGTTTCTTACAGTTTGTAAGCCAGATCGTCCACCTGACCGCTATGACAACCTGCTTTTGTTGTACCACAGGTCGCCCACTGTTCATTGCCGAGTGTTAGAGCTGAATCTCTAATTCGGGTAACCATCATATCCTTTATCTAAACACTTTTCCTAAAGTACCTATAGAACGAACACTATATTTGAGCCGATTCACGACAGCCGGCAAAAGACAGATTTGATAAAATATATACCCAATTTGGTCCGCAGTAACATGTGCTTAGTGACATTCTCAAGTCCAAGCAGTACAAGTGTCAAGCACAATTCACGCATGTCAAGCTGGCGTACGATGATATAGATAAATACACAGATCCTACATTTAACCTGAAACCTTGTGGTATTTTCATAGGTTTTTCTACCATTTGTGTTCGTTGTACCACGGGCAGGTCTGTACAAGCGCTCCTCGCATTAACGAGATTAAATAATGTACCTATATTTTAAAAGTTCCGGCCATCGGAATTTGCTCAAGTCTCCTGCGCTAGATATGCAACATATTCCGATGTTGGCTCAATACCTGTACCGAAGGTTCATGAGCGATCTCTAATAAATTCTGATCTCCAAGCTTTTAAGCTCCATCGATGCCATAAATGTGGCAAGCGATCACGTAGTGTAGCAGAGGGAAATCACGAGGTGAGTTAAATACTGTCATCTCAGAATAAAGTACAGTTTTGGGCGATTGAGTGCAGGTTGTTTTGCATACCTCATCAACAAACAAATAATTGCATGCAAGGAGAAATAGCCTTTACACTGCGCTACTATTGAAAGTGATCTCAGGATGCCCTCTTCATAAGCTTATCTTGAGTGTTCGAAAAGGGCTGGAAAGAAGTCAAGAAAAGCTGTTTAACACATCATTCGAATACGAAAGACAAACAAACTGTTCGACTGTCCCCATACCAGCCAATACAGAACCCGGAAGGACGCACGGACACGTGTAGTCGTGCGAATCTCATAGCTTTAGATTATTGGTACGTCTGTTTCGGATGTTCCCAATCCAAACAAGAAAACACGCCAGTCTTGAACTACGAACTCAGTGACAGGATACTGAGGTCGATTATTCCCTTCTGTGTTTATGCATTTTTTTGCTCATCTCGAGCAAATTACACTGGGAAGACGCCGATCGTACGACTGTCTAAGAGAGTCCGGGAGCATTGCCCGGCGTGGCTCTGAAACAGTGTGCGAAAGGCTGCAGCAAGCGCGCTGCTGTGTTACTTGTCTGACTCAAATCACCGAATCAAAGTGCGAGATGCATTCCGGCCAACCAACCGGATATCTAGACGTAACAGACAACCACTCCGCCCTCACTAATAAGCGACAACGAAAGCGATCGCTTTTTGACTCCATAGCACCAACTGATGTGCTCCATATTTTTGTTTATACTCTTCATCTCTCTTGGCTTCAAGCCGCCCCGCGTAAAGACAGTTCCCTTAACCTCTCCAAGAATTATCTCTTACTCAGTATCATCATTCAACCTTGCTGACCGGACAATTGATTTTATTGATTCATCACTTTTAAATGCCCTGTGCTAGTTGTGTCCCTATTTGCTGCCTGATGAGAACGACGGAAAACAAGCTTGTTCGCCACCTAACTTTTGATTCTGGCGTAAAGAACTGGCCTTTTTTCCTGCAGTAGACTGTAGTTCCCGTCTTCTTAGGGCACTTGGCCAACTTGAGCTTCCAGATGTTAAAACAATAACAACAAAACGTGTAGTGTCAGTTAGAAAAGGTAACCTATCGGTTTGCTGCACCATCAAATTTATACTTTCTGTAAACCTTAATTCTTTGGAGTACTGAATGAAAATGATCCAACAGAACACAACCCGTTTATACCAACTTTTCCGAGTAAAACATATATGCAATGACGCTGGACACTGCTTACACAATGAAGAAATACGGGGCCTTCCTTTGAATAAGTGTTCATCACGGTAACTTTCAAGTCAACCGACTTGCCGGGCATCCAGAAAATCATTTGACGGTGTTCCGTCTTATTGACACTGAACAATTCTGTGCATCACCCATCTTTATCGCGGTGTAAAACCGCCACCCATTGCTTAATGGTCCAATCCGCTGCCTAGTGGCGTAATATGCTGTACTCGGGAGGTCATTGGTTCATTTCCTAACATAATCCGCGATACACACTACTGACGCGTCTTAGTAGTAAGCTACGGCCGTCCAGCTATGTTCGGATACGGGGTAGGATATCTGACTTGGAATCAGTTACGAAGCAATCTTATTACCACACATGTACACGTTAGATGCAGGTAGAAAACACTGCAGCTATTTCGCCGCGATACATAGGACAAGAAAAAAGAAAAATACACTGGCACGCCTGCAGTCCCCAGTACCGGATAGACATCGTTCAGGTGAGCTAACACCCGGCTATCGTGCCGCAAAAGTTATGTTGTGCCTAACGAATGCGGTCGTAATAGACACACGACATGTAGCTATGTAATATTCGGTTCAAACTGTGGACAGTTAGAAGCTTTGTCATAAAAGATTGAAAGTGAGTTCCTTTTTTGGTAGGTTCCTTATGGTCTATTAATGGTTCACCGAACTAAGTTCACAGGCTGTGTCTTACATTTTGCTCCAACCCCCTAGGCTGGAATTTCTGGCGTCCATAACCGATTCCGAGGCTTATCATGGAGGCGAGTGAACTCGGAGGGTGATGTAAGTTATTTCTCGGATAACCCCGATTCTCACTCCCACCTAGGCTGCACAAGCAAGCCATCTGTAAAATCTATATTCTTTCCTCGTTCACGTTCCTCTTTTACTGGTATTAGCATGCATAATAGCCTTCCTAATGACCTTCTGGTACATTAACAGTAGGCAGATAAAGATCCCTCAGCTTTCAAGATTTCAGTAAACGAGAATGTAACCACATACGTTGCTTCTCGAAAAAAGTACCGTTACATTGTAAAATGACGAACCTCGTAAAATTCGGTCTTATTCGCTTTACAAACGATAAATGACCGATTCCGTGTGCTCTTGAGGACACCATAAAGGCTTGTCAATGAATAGTTTGGTAATGATGACATTGTACAGGCATCGAGGTCATATCGCAACAAAGTTTACCTTATAGAGCTTGTTTACTAAACACAACTACCGTTGGTAAGCAGCAAAACGGGCTGATTCCTTAGTCGTAGATCAACCGAGCCCAGTTTATCCTGGTTAGAACTGGCCAACCGTCTCGCGCAGAATTTCACAAAGTGGTCTCAAAGGTTTGGATAACTGTAATTGCTTTCAGGAATGTGGGTTGAAGTGAGTTCTAACCAGCGACAAATGACACTTTCATCAAAGATTGTTGGTTGTCATGAACTGCCACTGTATCGGCGTTAAGGATCAACTCCAGCTGAAGAGAAACCATTTATGAAAAGTTTTCAAAATGGTTTATGCGAAATGGTTTTGGTTACTAAGCAACTGAATCAACATGCTCACCAAATTCGATTATTGGAATAACTCGAATCCACAAACCTTCATGAAGGACACTAGCCTTTTATCCGGCAACTGCAGCTCATTTAACTGGTATTGCAGTAAGCCTGAAGTTTATTGCCTCGAGGTGAAAACAGAAACTCTAAGGCTTTCCGAGAGTCGGACACGTTGATTGCTATGCGTTCTACATAATTTATGAAGCAAAAACAATAGTAAAAATGAAAGTGACGGTAGACAGTTTCGCCACCCGGTTGGAGTGCATATATATATATACCCTATCGAAGAGTTGTTTCCCAGTCTTTTTGACACACAATAGCTATCTTGTTTACTTCCCAGTTTTGGTTGAATTGAGAGAAACCGGGATAATATTTTCTATTTCTTAGCTCCGAATGATAAAACGCACTGGACTTCATGTGCATGAGAATCAAAATCCACCAAGTGAGTAGTTTTGAAACTTTTGTTGATATCGGTTAGAGTATATCGAATGACTAACCTACTCTCTCTTGTAATTGTATCGACCTCAGTTGCACGTCTACTCAGAGTTGGAACAATGATACCCTGATTCATTACAATGATCAGATCTTGCTGGTGCTTCAAAGCAATCGTTAAAGATTGTGCTGCCGTTGATAGGTCCTCGAAATGTAGGACGTGTGGTTGCGGGCATAGTAGGTAATCAAGTGTACTGATGTTACAGTTAGTTTGAGGGTGAATTTCTGCTGTCGTTCTGCACTGAGCTAACATTATCTCTTACCTTAGTAGCCCTGAACATCTTTATAGTATTTGCAAAGAGCAGTACTGTGTAGTTGCTAGATCTGTTCTTTTCTTTGATGTCGAAACTATTTAGTAAATCGCGGAAGCTAGTCCGACGAACGGAAATCCCGCAAATGACCTTCACAGTCTCGCGCTTCCATCCGTTGGTAAACCATTCCTGTGGATGTATTGTGACACACAGCCTTCAACTGGACCGCTGCAACTGGAGGTTTTGAAGGTTACAATAACAGTAAAATCCAAGGTTGCAAAATACTGAAAGATTCTGTTTTCAGGTACACTACAAGGGTCTCCTCCCAGAAGGCTGAAAGATGGAAACCTTCGATGGTGCTGTTAGTATGGGAAAACGTGAAGTAAGGATGGGTGCGAATAGTATCATGGGTTTGAACACGGGCTTCCAAGATTAGGTGTGTAGCGGAGTTCTTTGGATCCAAGCACTTTAAATTATTTATGATGATCTTGTGGATCAGAGTGCATCATCGGTGGGCCGTCGGGGCGAGCTGGTCGAACTGCAAAATAACCTAGTCCAAAAGTAAGGCCGACAGGACATTTCTTCCGCTGCATACCCGAGGGTGTGCTTGGGGGTGTCACTCCCCCACCGCACTCAAGTCCACGGTCCTCGTCGGCAATGGTTAGCCAGGCGGTTGGGGACCAATCTGACCGTGACCGTCTGCGGTCGAGGACGAATGTTTCTTGGGTCAGAAAGGGGCTTTGAGGTGGCTGGCGAGTCACTCGAGGGTTGCTTTAGCAGTTCCGGTGGTTGAGCTTCTGGTAGATTGAACTCAGAGGGAGTGGCCACATGTCGGGGAAAGTGGCTTGACGCCAGAGAGTGTACATGACATACATGTTAAAAACAAATACGCGTTTTAAGTTTGCACAATGTTTGAGTTTGTTTGCTGATTTTACAAAAGGTTTGTGGATGACACAAGATTACTACTAAAGACAGAAAGGGCGTGTAAATGGAAATAGCATACGTTTATAAAATCTGAAAAACGGACCGGACGCTTGACCTGTCTACCCTGTCAGTCGGTTGTCTGGGCTTAAGGTGGGGTAGGCTGAGGATCAAAGGGAACGGATGGTTTCGGGAGGTCCAGTGCTCGAAAACTCATCACATGTGCGGGTGTTTGTCTGATCGCATCAGGATGGGTTACAAGTGTTTTTTCGAAGACAGCCAGGCGATCGATGGACACCGTTGTTTGGTGACCATTCTGGTCTAAAGTGAAATGTTTCGGAGTTGGTTGAAGGACTCTGAAAGGGTCAGTGTAGGGAGGCTGGGGAGTGCACCTTCATGCGTCGCTACGGGGGAAGACGTGAGTGCAGGTAGAGAGTCCGCTGTGCATTTGCATCTCTCTTGTCTGCTCAAGGGGCGGAGTCGGGCTTAGTGAACGCATGCGTTGTGCTAGGGAGGACGCAAAGTTAGACGTAGGTATACCCGACGATACGTGGGGTAAAACGAATTATCCTGGCTACTTGAGCGTTGTGTCGTAAAGTAGCTCTGATGGCACACATTGCAAATCAGCTTTGATGCTGCTGCGAATGTTTAAGAGTACGAGCGATACGTTTTCGCTCCAGCCAAGGTCGGAGGAGGCACAGAGCGGGGCTTTAAGCTGCCTATGGAAGCCTTCGACTAAACTGTTGGCTGCGGCGTGATACAAACTTGCAGAAGATATCGTATTGTGAAAATTCGAATGGCGTTCCACGCTCAGTTGTGATGGTGGATGGCATCCGTAATGCGAGACGCACCGATAGAAGAAGGCCCGGATAACAGTTTCAGCTATGCAGTCTGTTACGGGAATGGCTTCTGGCCATCTGGTGAAGCGGTCGACACATGTAAGGATGTATACGAATCCGCGTGAAGGAGGCATGGGACAAGTGTACATGCAAGAACTGAGAGTCCGGGACTGGACATGAACTAAGAGGACTGTGGATGTGACGATGTATTTTGAAGCGCTGGCATTGAAGGCAGGCGCGAGCCCAGGTGCGAAAGTTTTGTTTACGCTTGGTCAAACGAAATGTTCGATGACCAGGTTGTGATAGTATGTGGAGTGCGTCAGACTATGCGTCTGAAGGAGACGGGAACGAAGGCTGTAGGATAATCTTTGAAAGTGCCACAGAGGATTTCTCCTTCCGTGGCTTAGAGAGGAACAGTTTGCACATGCAGCGAAGTGGACTGCAGGGTGCGTTGTAGGTCTTCCGCTTGAGCCTGAACCGAGGCAATGGCGGCATGGTCGACGGTAGGCAAAGACCGGAGAGTGAGTTGTTCACGTGAGAGGGCGTAGGCGACCGGATTGTCGGCACCTGAGGCATGACGTATGTCAGCAGTGAACTGCGTGACAAAGTCTAGGTGTCTTGTTTCTCGGGGTAAGTATTTGTTGGAGGTAGGTTTGAAGGTGAATCTGAGGGACTTATGTTCAGTGTAGAGGGTGGAGGCGCGGCCTTCGTGCGTGTGCCCGGAAGTGACGAAGGGTTAACTAATTGGTGAGCAGTTTTCTGCCAAACGTGCTGAATAAGTACCCAATGGGTTGCCATGGCCCACCAATGTGTTATTAGAGGACGGCTCCTACGGCGACGTCTGAGGCATCAGTCGTAATAGAAAGGGATGCAGTCGATTCGAAATGAGCGGGGAGGGCTGTGTTGACGATAGCCTTCATGAGCTCGGCGAAAGCCAACTGTGCTGTGTCTGGGAAAGCGGACTTACATTCATTCCCCTGCGTAGGTCAATCAGAGGCTGATTGCGCTGAGCGCAGCGCGGAACGAAGCGTCGATAGTAGTTGACAAAACCACAAAATCGATGGAGATACTTGAATGACGTCGGGGATAGGAACTCCTTAAGTTCCAGGATCTTGTCATGTAGCACTTAGATACCAGACGATGTAACGAGGTGGCCTAGGAATTCTACCTTTAACCTAACAAGTTCGCACTTAATCTGGTTGACTGTGACACCGTGTTATGTCAAATGCTGGAAGAGAGCTCGAAGGTGGTCGAGATGCACTTCGTCCGATGAACTGGCTACTAAAATGTCATCGAGGTAAGAATTAGCAACGTCTAGGCCACGAGTGACGTCGTGTTTAAAGTCTTGGAAGGCGTGTGCGGTGTTGCACAGTCTAAATAGCCTCCTTACAAAGTCGAACAAGCCAAAAGGAGTGATGACGGCTGTTTTAGGAATGTCACTTTCTTCTTCAGGTGTCTAGTGATAGTCGCGAAGCAGATGGATCTTGCCAAAGATGGTCTTACCTGTGATGCATGCGCTAATGTCCTGCATGTGTGAGATAGGATACCCATCTGGGACGGTTAGCCGAATGACTGCAGGGTAACCACCGCAAGCGCGCCAGTCACCAGATTTATTGGGGTCCATCTGCAGGGGAGAGGACCAAGGGTTGTTGGAAGGGCGGATTATTCCAACTTCAAGCATGTGCTCGAACTCTACCCTAGCTACCTTAAGTTTCTCGGGTGATAGTCGGCGTGGACAA